ATGAGCTATTTAGTTGACAGATTTTGCTGCAAAAAAACATGTCAAATTTTCCCTGCAATCAGATCCATGCCTAGTAATGATTTAAACCATGCTTATCAAACATAAAAGGGATTTGTCCTGCTGCCTATGTTAGCTTAATATTTTGATGTTTTAGGACATATTAAGAGGTGCAGACAGGAGGCAAATGACGCATTATTATAAGATATTTTTAGAGGAAGAATTTGGATCAAATATATGGATTTTTGAATTTGCCAAGAACAACATAACGGAGATTGAATTCAGAGTGGTTTTCTCTTCTTGAATTGTTCTATGAAATAGATAGATTATATTCCTTTCTATATATCACATTTTCTCAAGGAAATTTCTTTTCAAATTTCACTGAAATCAGGGCATCTGTTTTGAAAGAGACACATTATAGCCAAACCTGTTGGTGAAACCCAGTCATACATTTGCCCCTTGAGAGGAAGCTGCAGTTTACAGAATTTTTTCTAATACTTTTGCTGAGCTTTGCTAGTCATCAAATGTCTTCTACAGATTGATGGGAATTCTTTGTGATAATTCTCACTATGTCTTTAGAAACATTATTGTGTGCTATGAAGCATGACTGTGTTATTTCCAGTGAATTTTTTATTCTAAAGGAGGTGGAGTTTCCATGGAAGTGTTACTTTGCATGGACCACATAAGCATATGTTATTGTTATTTGCCAAAAATTGATTCACACTGTGTTCAAAATAACTGAGAGGTTAATCAGAACACATAAAATTAAGAGCCTAAATTAATATGAACTGAAATATATTAATGATTTAAAGCACCTGAATCACCTGTCTACTTACCTCTTCTCTCCCTTTACTCTCTCCTTCTGTAGGAGTAAGTATCAGAAGTCTGTCCAACACTTTCTGAAAAGAATCAGAAGTCTGTTCAACACAGGAGAATAGACAAATTCGATTCTCCTCTTGATGGCAGAAGACTTGTTCTGATGGCACTGCTCTTAGGAAGTACCAAAGAGTGCCATGCTAATTTTGGAAGAAGTTAATGCGGCATATCTTGGCCTTATTGTTGGTCACTAAATTCTCTTCCTTTCCTTAAAAGAGGAACTCTCCTTCTCCATCACATTTATTGTACAGATAGAGTATGTGTCTAGGATTTCTGGCCTGAGATTTGATGCTGGGTGATAGCCCTGTTACGCCACAGGGCACAAAGGGACCATAAGTCATGGTCATTTCAAAGAAAGCCCTTAGGACACAATTAGCCCTAAGTCTGCACTCTAAACTGTTCCAGACTTGGCATGTGGACCGCAGTTTCTCCAAACAGTCAGAGCAGGCTGTATTAACAAGTAATTTTAGGAACAAGAGAAGATCTGTACAATGAAGCAGCTGGTACTGAGTATCTATCTCATGTCAACTGTAAATGCTTCTGAAGGGATTTTTCCTCACTCTAGCTCTAGTCTAATTTTGTAGACCAAACGTGCATTAATGGTTGGCATAGGGTAGTATGGTGCTGTAGCCCATTTAGTTAAGGAAGAGATGACTACATTTACAATAGAAAACAATCCTGCTGATATGAACACTGTTTTCTTGGAAGTTACAGTTAAAAACCTTGACCTGGAACTTTACATGGGACTATTCACTGTAATTTTCCATGTGTGTGTATGTACACCTGAAAACTATTGTTATCAAATGAGGTTCTAGTTTGTGTGGGCAGTTTTAGACAACTGAGCTGTAAAAAGAAACATTTGATGAAACCACTGGAAACTTTGGTCATATGGATACGAACTATAGAGGTCTTGACTGAAAGCAATCATTCGATTTCAATGAATGTGAAAACCAGCAGGTTCCAGCACAGCGCCTGATGCAAGGATTCACTTTTTTCCTTCTATGTCCTCGAAGAAAGCAGGCAAGAAGGGAACACTAAATTCTTTCTACCTAACTGAATATTTCCATAATCAGAAACACACTGTGATTCTGATTGTTTTGATTAATCTCTCAAGTACTTTCTTTTGCACTGCAGTTGTTCCACACCCTCATATGCATTTCTACAAAAGAGTTTTGGTCATACAAAATGAGGGTAGCATGCCTTCTCCCTTTCCTGTTATAGGCTTTCTTTGGAGGTGATCGAGTTAGACATTCTCAGGCTAGAATACTTGTTACTTACTATATGAAGTCTTCAGGAATTTCCAATAACTTTTATTAATCCATATTATAAATCAAAATTTATTTTATTTTAAAATTAATTAAAAATATAACAATGACTGTTATATAAAAATATAACAAGTATTTATTGAGGAAAAATAGCCAGTTCTGTGCTGTTTCCTCATCATTAGGACCTTCCAAGGAAGGGTAAAGCCCTTGTTATTATATCCTTTTACAGCCTCCAAGGGTTTTTTCAGACCCCAACACCACAAAATTCCTGGCCTGAAGGGAAAAAAAAAAATAAAAAAATTGTGGGTTCTCTGTTGTCCACCAGTGCTGCCATGCACTCATCTCCATCAGATCTCTGTGCTCGGACTTACTGCTGTGGTAGGACAGGATTGAAAGGGGAGGTGGCAGCTCCTACTGCCCAGGCACCTCCCAGCATGGGGTATGGAGCCACACCATCCTCTACCTGTCTGCAATTAGAAAATTACAGGTAATGTTTTTGTGCTTATCCTGAGCTCTGGGCTGTAGTCAAAACCAAATAAAATCAGCAATCCCTTGTATACCTTTTCTTGTTTCTTAATATCTAAATATTAAATAAGAATACCTTTTTGCCTTACTCTTTTATGTTTTTCTAATGAAGACAGAGATCAATAACTAGAAATCTCAGGTGTATACCAGAGAGAAACACAAAAAGTGCAGTAGGAGATGTCCCTCAAGACATGAGTGACCTTCTTTAAGCTGTTGTTTCTTCAAAAGGTTTTCAAGTTATCTATCACAAGCTATGCTGAGGTAGAGTGTTTTGTCTGCTGTTGAGCTCACTGTACTTTGTCTGAAATAAATCTGTTTTCATTAAGCTGCAGAGAGGTATAATTCCTTATTCCTGCAGCAGATTAAAGTCTAATTTCTCATTGTTTAGTAGCAGGAAGCACTCTTACAGTGAGCTGCTGCTTAATAAGGGTGAAAATATGTCTGTATTCCAGACAGAGTTTGAGTTGCTGCCTTATACCTGTCCTCAACATCTTCCCTTGCACACAACCCTCTAGGGTCAGCATACTGACTCCCGTGGGTCTGTGAATGCAAGCTCTGCTGCTGCTGGGTTTGGGCTTGAGAGGACAAAAATTTCAACCAAATATTTGTTAGTGGACAGCTGAAATGAGATTTAGGTCACCCTGATTTTAGGTGTCTTCAAAAAGACCCTGGTCTAACAGCAGCTACAGCAAATACAGTACAGCCAGTGATGTGAGCAAGTCCTCTTGTCCGGTGCAGGTGCCTGCTCAGGGTGAGTTAAATGCTCTCAGCTCTACTGACTGCACCAATGACTCTAGGGAGAGCTTAGTCACAGAGTTCATGTGCAGATACCCACATTAATAATACCTGCAACAAAATGAGTTTAATCCTCACCTAAAGCTGCTTTTTCATCCCAGACTCAGAGATGTCAGCAATCTTTTCAAAATCATCTATTTTAGGAAGGAATTTGGATTATGAGTATACGAGGAAAATGAAGAGATGGATATGTATTTCTTAACAGATTTCTGAAATATATGCCAAGATGATTTTGTTTGCTGTTGGTTTGGTTTCTTGCCATTGTGTATGTGTGTGTGTACACATGCATATACATGAATATACATATAGATTGTGTACTTGTGATAAATAAAATTTTCCTAAGTCTCTTACTTCTACTATACTACCTTAAACTGGAAAACAATGTTCATTTGCTTACTGCATATACATATTGGAAGGCTATTAATTTTTAAAATATGCATTGAAGTGCTAAGTACCTTATTGATGATTCACAATTGTAACTCAGCTCACTTCTTGTTATATTTTCTTTTGCATATTGATAGATATTGCTTGATTGTGTGCAATAGGTTTAATTAAAAAAAAAAAAAATCCAGTAAATCCCTTGCTACCAGAATCACCTTAAATGTAAACACAGAGTATAAGATGAAGTGAGTTGGCATGATCCTTATGCATGCATCTAAGATTGTATACAACATTTATGGATTTTTATAATTTAATTTGCTTACCTTAGACAACTTATTTACTATCAACATTTCCAGTGGAGCCCTAATTTAGACGTGAAGACAGTTTAATTTCTGATATTTGGATGAGGGTGTCAAATGATCTAAGTGTTGAAACTCTTTTATGAATTTACTGGGAATAAGTTGCCTGAATATTTTCAAGATTCTCAGATGATAGTCTAGACACCATAAGTATGAAGATAATATTGGTAGAAGTTGAAATTTTGTGTGGATGACTCCCATCCATTCCTGAAAAAAATATCTGTAATATCTGAGATATACATTAACAATATCTTTTACAATTAAAAATTATTAATAAAATGTAACCAGACTCAATAAGAAACAAACAAAAATCAAACAAAGTTCTTCATAGGTGAACACCTGATTCTTAAATTTCATCACTAGTGAAAGATGTTTTCTTAAACACTTTCTGAGAGCTGCTGCACAATTTTGTATGCTGTGCTTCAGATTCTTGATTCATCTGGCATAAGAATACAGGCAAACAAAGGTGAATATACTAAAAACTAGACCCACCTTTTCTCTTTTTTTTCCTGAATATTGCATGACAGACAACCTCTGAGAATTGCATGACATGAAGTAAAATAAATCCTCCACCAGATTATTAGGTGTAAAAAATAACCAGAATAATTTTTTTTCTAGAAATTTTGTTTTGTAAAGCTGATGACTGGCAGGCTGTATCATAATTGTGCATTACTAGATCTGAACTCAAATCCTAGCACCTCCAAGGAATCTTTCTGATATGGAATACCTTCAGGCTCTCAGAGTTAAATCCATGACATTTAGACTTATGAAAACAAGTGAAATTAGTTTTTCTGTACTATACCTGTACAGATGAAACTTGATAGTCCTCCATAGATGACATCATCATTGTCTGGTAATATAAAGGGACACCTCGTTTGAACCTCCAAACAGTATTGCTTGCAAGGAATTCTGTTGCTGCAGTGAAACTGTGTGACTTCAAAATACTGGGAACAGAGCCAGGCTTTGTAGACAGTCTGGAAAAAGAGAAGAAGCAGAAATATAGATGGATGACAATAGCACTGTCATTAGAAGAACATACTGTACTGCACACCTACATTAATGCTGCTTTTGGAAGAAAATTTTGAGAGAATATCACCTGGGTAAAATATGCTCGTAACTTTTGACTGTCCTCCCACTTCAGAAATGAAAACTCCAGCAAAGTAATTTAAAAGAAACAGTTATTCAGGAATAGGCTTATGCAATTATATTATCTTAGTTTGTAAACAGTTATGTCTCTTAGCTGTGATGTTTTATTAGACATGTGTATGCATGGAACACACAGCCCTGTCCCTGCAACACAATATCTCACCAAGTGAGATTCTAATCTCATTTGAAGTTGGACAAGGACAAATTTATAAAAGTGCCTGCAAGAAAGAGTTGAAAGCTGGGCTCAGGCCAAGTCTGTCTTTATATCGTCTAGAGCTAAGCTATCAGGTTGCAATAGATGGTGCTGCTTCCCTTCAAATAAAATCTTATCCAGTACACAGCATTAAAACATGCATTAGGGAACCTGAACACCAATGGCTGTAGACTAGGGGATAAGTCTGCTGCAGTGAAAACCTATGTCTACATTTGGGTGCTAAAAGGAACACTTTAAAGATGCTCTCATCGGATGCTGCATGGCCATGGCTGCAGGACTTGTGGTTATTGCAATTATTGTCACCATTTAAACAGACAAGTAAAATGCACATGTTGATTTTAATTTTTGCTACCTTTTGTTTTCCAAACAATGATGTTTGTATTAAACTCTTTTGAACACAGAAAGCTTTCATGTAAAATTAGGTCGATGCCAGGCTACAAAGTTGATAAAAAACCTGTGTGACTGAGTACAGAGAGATTTCCTTGTTCCCCATTTTATTTTCCACTTAACTGTTTATCTAGACATTATTTAGTGTCTAGATACTTGCTATCTAGGTTGTTACAAAACAAAGAAAAAATAATTTTTTGTATTTTTAAATTATCCAAAAATCCTAGTAATTACCTTTCATTAAACATAGACTGCAAACCAATAAAGTCTGCTTATCATTTCTATTCTTTCCAGGAATGATGTAATAAAAAAGAAAACTATAGATAAAATTTTTAAGTCAAGAAAGCTAAAAAACTGACACCTGAAATCACCAATCTAGATGAGAGTTTAGTTTGATCTCAGTATGTTTCATCTCTGGTTATAATTGCATGAATGTCACTAGCAGCCTAAATTATATAATTAATATCAATGTAGTAGCCCCAGAATCACCAAACTTTTATTTTAGATTGTTTGCAACAGTGGCAGGTATGTGTTGAGTTGCTAGGTGATAAAATGAAGCCTTTATTACTAATATATGGTTTGTGATAATCTCTTTATAGCAGTTTTTGCCTACTGCATTCTGTAGAACATATTTTTTTCATTAAAAATTCAACTTTAATTGCTTACTAAGGTTTCTTATCCACAGTAAATGATTAATAAGAAGGAAGACCAGGAGATGTCTGTACCTTTCAGTCTTAAATAAACTTTTAATCAGAAAGTGGTTTCCCCACGTCAATTACATCAGCCACCACGTTTCTGATGCTCCAGTTGCTTTTATGACATTTGCAACAATAAATCATAAAGTCACAGAATATACTGAGTTGGAAAATTCAAGGATCATGAGTTCAAACCTTGGTTTCAACTCCTGCTCAGGACTATCCCCAAAAGTCACACCATGTGCATTGTCCACACACTTCCTGAACTCTGTCAGGCTGGTGTTGTGACCCTGGGGACCCTGTTCCAGCTCTCAATGACCCTCTGGGTGATGAACCTTTTCCTACCTAAGCGTCCTCTGACACAGCTTCAGGCCATTCCCATGGCTCCTGTCACTGGTCACCACAGAGAAGAGATCAATGCCTGCCCCTCCTCTTCCCCTCATGAGGAAGTTGTAATTGAGGTGAGGTCTCCCTTCAGTCTCCTCCAGGCTGAACAGACCAAGTGACCTCAGTTGCTCTTTATATGGCTTCTCCTCAAGGCCCTTCATCATCTTTGTTACCCTCCTTTAGAGGGTAATAATATAATAACTTTATATCTTATGTTGTTGTACCCAGAACTGCACTCAGACTTTAACGTTAGGTGAAATAAAACAATACTTTTTCTATTTTCAATTAGTGATCATACTCAATTGTTTGGAGACAGGAATGCTGGGTCTGGTAACAGTTATACATTCAAATAGGTTCTTTCCTGATCTTAGACCTGTTTAGTATGACATGTTATCTTCATAAAATAGATCAAATAGAAGCAAGTTTGTTTATGACTCATATTTGAAAGTGTAAGTCAGTTTTTAGGAAGTATATTGAACAGTCCACCATACATGGTAACAAGAAAATGAGCAAAACCCTGGGTCTACTGAAGCAAGACAGAAAATGTTTATTCAGGAGCAGAAGTAAATAATGCAATCGTGGGCTTCTATGAAGATTTTTGTGTATCCAATCTCCATTCATACACATCATCTTCCTGCTCTGATTCACAACTCCTCAGCTTTGTCTCAAGATTACTTTTGAATTGTCCATATTTCTAAAGAATGCATGAGGATACCTGCTCCTGAGATCTGTTTCTCAGATGGATGCCTCCCACTCTGTACCCTTCCTTATTTTCTTTACCCTGCAGCTGATTTAAAGCATGTCTATGATATAGATTTATATTTTTAATATTCTGTTTTCATTTTGCTCTGTTATACCCAGTAAGGCTACATCAACTCCTAGACAAGGCACATTCATGATATCTGGCATTCCACTGCCTTCACAGCTTTGACCTGTGTTAATTCCTACATTTCCAGAGAGTGCTCAGCCATTGTCTGGAAAAAGGTGTATGCCAGGCACTGCATCCAGTAAGCAGTTTTGTCTTTTTCCAAAGAAAAAGGAAAAATATGTAGGTGTTTGCAGTTGGGCTGTGCTGGGTTAGCTGGTAGACCAGAAAGTGGTTCCTCACTGCTCTTACATCTACAGACATCCGCTTTCCTAACAAACCCAAATAATCTCTCCTACCCTTCCTGGACTTTCTAGGCACCAAAGGTTTTACACAGACATCTTACTTTCATGCTTAAATATGTGTTACCCAGGAGGGAGTACAGAAGTGGGAGACTTGATCAAAATGCTGATTTTCAGAGACTTAAAACATGCATTATGTAACAAGGCCTGAAACTATCAGTGAAATGCACATTGGCCTGTATATTGAGCTTGATGTTCACTTTACAAACTACCCTTTAATATGAGAGTTCTTTCCATCTTAAAGAACATCCATAGCTAAACTGAAGGATTTATAAACACCATAAATGTGTCTATAAATAAGATATAATGAGTTTATAAATAAGATACAATAAGGAGATTGAAACCTTTGAAATATAATTCCTAACAGAAATCTGGCAAACTGAACTCAAAGAACAGAAAAAACCTGCATGTTTTTCTGTTGGTTTTGTTTTAACTGTTTTTTAACAAGAAAAAGAACTAAGATGAACTGAATTATTAATGCATCATGACAATCACATAGACAATACATAGATTAAATACCAGAATATATATAAATATCTCATTTCTTTACCATCAACATAACTTTAGACACTCTGCATTTGAAAGAGATACAGTCCTGGCTATTAGATGAGACACTGTGATGGCAAGATGGTAGTATCCCATAAGAATAAATTCATCTTTCATAAACAGAAGCATAGATATAAAATCTCAGAAGGATTTAGTGGCAATTTTGATCACCTAAATAAATTTAATTTACCTTACTTGGTACCTGCAGGAAAAAAATTAAGATTATAGCTTTGAAAAAGTGCACAAAGTGCTGGCTTCATATACCTATATTCTATAGGTATATACCTATAATCTGAGTGCCTATCTAGAGTGATCATCATAAAAATAATTTTGGTAGTTTTAAATTGTAAACAATATTGTGATAAAAACTTATTATCAGTTGGGCAGAATAATTTATTATTTGGCACTTATGTGTAAGTTTCAAGCAGGAAAAATATTTTATTACTTCAGTAACCAATAACTCAACACAAATATCCAGCTTCAGAAATTCAAAGAATTAAAGCATCACAAACAAACTAGACATTAAACTCCATCTACTTGTCAAATCATTATAAATAATAAAAGAATTCAGAGTTAATAGGAAGAAAGCAAGTGTGTGTGGGGAGAATTTCAAGAAACTGAAAGGTCATAGTATGTGCTTTTTCTCTCAGGACATTAGGAAGAACACTTATTTTTGTCTGTGTGGAGATTCGCAGTCCCCGTATTGTCTTTTACAGATATTCTGTATCTCATAACACACATGAGGTTAGACTGGTCTTGAAAGGCAACCAGACAGAGTTCTTAGTTAATATGGTTATGCTAATCACCTAGAGAGGGATCAGGAGCTGCTCTCTCCCAGTGCGGACAGAATGGCTGCTCTACAGTGCATTGGCTGACCACAGGCCTGGCCAATACACTAACAGACTTCCAACTGGCTTTGCAACTAATTGCACAAAACTAATTTTGACAAGAGGACCTTTAAGAGGACCCCCCTGCCCAGGCCACTCCATGATTCCATATTCTAAGATTCTTTTTGCTAAGACTGCAAAACCAATGGGAAGATAAAGTACCGTGTGTACATGCCCACAGTGTCCCTTCCTTCCCGTCTCATTGCCACTCGCCCATACACACATAATACATGTGATTCTGGATAACCTAAGTTCTGTCAAAACAGATTGAGCACGTAGCCTTAATCATCTGAGTCACACTGCAGGAGAAGTGTCAGTAGAACAGAATGGAAAAGCTCAATCAGTTTCATTCTTTACAAATGCCATTTCTTCCTGGTTTTCAAAAGATGAATATAACTCACTTCTGCCCCTTCCCCTGTTGTTTCTGATTGCCATTTCCAGGAAGTACTTTAACCATTTTCCACGGAAAAGATTTTTTTCCTCATTGAGGAAATATTTGATGTTTTGGCTGGGCTTTCATAATATTACACAAAAGGGAACTTAAA